CACCTCCTTGGATCTGTTCATCATGCATCTGCTGATGCACAATAAAGTGCCATTAGCTTTTCTGATGGCTTCATCACACTGGCGACTCATGTTCATCTTGGAGTCCACTAGGACTCCAAGATCCCTTTCCGCTTCTGTTCCACCAAGCAGGTCATTCCCTAGGCTGTAGGTATGCTGGACATTTTTCCTCCCTAGGTGCAGCACTTTGCATTTCTCCTTGTTGAATTGCATTCTGTTGTTTTCCACCCATATGTCCAACCTGTCCAGGTCTGCTTGTAGTTGTTCCCTGCCCCCCGGCGTGTTCACTTCTCCCTACAGTTTTGTGTCATCCGCAAACTTGGACAGAGTACACTTCACTCCCTCGTCCAAGTCACTGATGAAGATATTGAAGAGTATCGGTCCAAGGACGGAGCCCTGCGGGACCCCACTGCCCACACCCTTCCAGGTTGATACCGACCCATCCACTATGACTCTCTGGGTGCGACCCTCTAGCCAATTTGCCACCCACCGGACTGTGTAGTCATCCAAGTCACAGCCTCTTAACTTGTTCACCAGTATGGTGTGGGATACCATATCGGCCTTCCTGAAGTCTTAAGTATACAACATCAACCCCTACTCCTGTGTCCAGGCGTTTTGTAACCTGGTCATAAAAAGACTAGATTAGTCAGGCATGATCTACCTGCTACGAGCCCGTGCTGGTTCCTGACAGCATAATTTTTCCTGCCGGGCTCTCGCAAATGTGAGCCTTGATAATTTTTTCGAAGACTTTGCCTTCGTTCCATTCTGGAAGGGCACGTGCTCCAGTAGGCACAAACTTGTCCCTTCCTACCACGCTTAACCTCTTTTGCTCACCCCTCTGACTTCTCATCTCATTCTTTATTTTCCAATTTTGGCTTTTCATCAGTCCTTACCCATGCAGTTCCAGCCTTGCCTCTCTCTGGCCTTAGTCAGTGTCTCCCTGCTAAGCTGTTCCCATTGCCAGCCTCCCACCCATATTCCTCACCCCTTATTAGCCTCATTTCTCCTACTGCTGGTTCCTCAGCTGATCTCTACCCCCAGCCATGTTCCTATCTCCATTGCCCAACTGTCCTTGTCCAATCTCACCCTTCCTTGACTTACCATCCCACCCAGTTCTTGCCCAGTCTGTTTTTTCCCAGCAAACAAAAAAAGAGCTGCCAATAAGAGCTGCCTTGCAACTCACAGTTCTAATTTACTTGTCCATCTAGTCAATCTTTGGGTTCAGCTCCCATTCCCACTTTTCCACCCCAACCAGTCCTCTCATTGTTCATTTCTCTCCCTCCACCTCAACCAGTCTAGTCCCAGTACACCTACAGCTGATACCCTTCCCTTGACATATTAGTCAGGCCACTTTTTCCTCTTCCATTCTGGCTGGGACCCAGAAAGGGGAGGGGAGGCATATTGAGAACAGATTTTTTTTTCTGCCATTAATACAGGTGGTTGAATCAGACGTCTGTAGACACCCAGAAATGCAACTGCAAGCGCAGCCCTCTGTAGCCCAGCATAGACAGAATAAGCAAGTTTAGCTGCAGATGTAAGTTTCTGAAGTCTGCACCTAATCAGTTTTTATGTAATAAGATATATAACTAGACTAATCTAAGTGGATTTTTAAGGGACCAAAGAGTTACTATGCCATGTATGGGACACTGGAGGTTTGTCAAAGAAAAGGTGAGACTTTTTTGGACCATGTTTACAAGTCTTTCTCCCTAGCTCCATTCAGAAATTGAAGTCTTTAGCCAAACACATAAAACTGAGGCAGATGCCCTCCATGAAGTCTCAGGTGATTATAACTTGGCAGAGTTATAATCCGCTGAACACATGGTTGAAAATGGGAAGCATTTGGCAACTTTAATATTAGGCAGTCCTCCCAGTCAACAATCCTGCACACAAAGCTGTCGGGAAAGAAAGCTATTTAGGCTGCAAAATTGTTAGATGGAAGCTTAGAAATGCTGCTCTTACTCTCCCATGAAACCTGAACACTGGCCCCTCCCACAGCCCTCCTTTGAAGGGGGAGACAACAATTCTGAAGGGAAATCTTCCACAATCATGTAATTGCACCCCACCCCAACTTTGTCCATTTCCTTCCTCCACCTCTGCCAGTCTAGTCCCAGTCTACCTATTATGTCATACAATACATATGCACAAAGTAGTGACATTGAGATCATGCTACAAATCTGGCATTTCTTGATCCAGCCCTTGATTCGCAACTAAAACTCATTGCTCGTTTGCCTTTCTTTCCCCTTTAAAGAAAAGAAATTGCTATGCCTGTTAAAACTAACATAGCACAACTCTGTATGCATCGTCGATTGGATTTGACTACCAGATTTACAACACAGACTGTTGCTAGAATAGCTGGTGTTTACTAGCTGGTGGTAGGAGAAAGGTATTATCCCAAAAAGCAGGCCATGGGGAGAGCATCATGGGATACTAAACCAACTCTCTTGCCCCATGCCCAAGTTCAGAGAAAGCCTCTGCATTCTTGTACCCAATTTTTCTGAGGGGAAATGGCAATTTCCAGGTTTTTCCTTAGTCAAGTGAGGAAACAACAAAAGAGAAAAAGAAAACAGCACTTTTCTAACTTGATGGCTTCCTTCTGCTGATTCTAAGGCCTTCTACCACCAAATATAAACGCTTCCTGAAGAAGATTCCTTTCCAATATAAAAAATGTTGTTTAAAGGCAATCTAAATGTAGGTTCCCTACCAGCTCTTTTCTTGTTCACCCCTCCCCTCCTTGAGGACTGTGGTTTGCCTTATTACTGTATTACATCAGTAACAGAATAAAATTCAAAACTGCTCTCAACCTATTTACTTTTCAGGTCTTTATTAGATGGCATGTTCTTCTCCTGTTGAAAACAGACTTGTTTGTTAGTTCCCAAGACTAATACTTCCAGGACTCCATATTGAGCTATTTCATGCTGAAGTAATTAGTAAGACCCAAATTATGTGAGCTATTTTTAAGTCACTCTTAACTTTCACAATTCTATAGTTTGGGAAAAGAATAGGCAGACATCTATGTCCATTTGAAGTATCTAGCTTTGTAGAAACACTATGGATGGCCTTTGTTGTTGGGTTTTTTGTTTGTTTTTTTTTAAACAAAGCCCCAAGAGACAATAAAGCTTAGTCTTGGCAGTGGCAAGTATCAGGGCCCCACGAGCTAAACTCAAGCAAGTCTATACAGTCTTCCTACCAATGTGCGCCAATAAGCGTATCCAGTTATTTGGTTAAAAAGGTTAAGGAAAGCGTTTAATACTAGTGTTAAGACCTCCTTGGCCTGGTGCCTCTATGGATTATCTTGCTCAACTATGAAACCACTATCTGACAGGGCAATTTTTTGCATATGTGCAATGTTGTATCTTACAAAGAAAGCATTATAGCATATCAGCACTTTTACCTGTAATTTAAACTTACTCCAGCAGTTCAAGCAAGTCCTGTAGTTATACATGCTCGTTCATGAACAAAGACAAACTGAATACTAAGCAATCTTATATTTACCCTTGCATTTTCCAGAACTGTTCCCCCATCTCTTACATACGCTGCAATGAATTAACAAATCTGTCATGAGATCATGCAGTGCTGGGTTCACAGGATTGTTAATAAAATATGAAAAATAACTTTCCAGGTTTATAGTTCTAATACAAGGCAAGATAGTACCTTCTGAATTCCCTTATCACCTGCTGTTTGCTGTCTCCTACGTGGAATGAATTGGAAGTTCCATGTCAATGTTCAGTAGGCAGGTTTACATAATACAAACTCCCATAACAGGCAAAATTGCTGGCAATTCCAATAGTTCCAGGATTTGATGGCATGAAAAATAAGTTCCCTCTCACCTCTACAAGTGTGTCCTCCACCCAGGCTGAAGCTCAATGACAGGATTGGGAAGTCTAGACTTCTGTCATTTCTAACATGCTTTATCTGCATTATCCGAGGGCTTTATTTCAGTGTTATCAAACTGGTACTCTAACCAGTATATTAGGCTTTAACTTTGTTGAAGTATATTGACCACCCCCCCGACTGCCCCTCTTCCCTTGTTTGCATCTTGCTGGAATAATGAATATTGCCAAAAACATTTCCTTCTGACATTTAAACCTTGTCTTTGCTCAAAGACAATGCATCTACTATTTTAATTCTGTTATAGAATTTCACAAATTAACTCTCAGTGTGAAACCATACACACACACGCACGCACGCAAAGACTCTGTTGCAGAAGCCATTAAGGATAAAAATATGAGTAAATACAAGCTTAAGGAATGCTGAACATGTGATACAGCTAAGATTAAAAATGTTTATTATTTATACAAAACAAAAATAAATCCAAGATAGATAAATGACTGAATGTTTCTTCTCATTTGCTGTCTTGTCTTCCTTTTTCAATATATTCCATCTACAGTTCAATTTTAAATTATTCAGTTTTCAGTGAAAACTATGAGGTCTCCATCTTGTATCCATGTTTTTCTAATTCAGCTCTGTACAAAAACAAGAACCAAAAGACAGACATACAGCAAAATGTTATACTAATTCTTAATACTAAAACAATATACATATTCTGTTACTTTAGATATGACTTGAACGACAGTAAAATTTGGTGCTCACCTGATTTACCTTCTTTCTAGATTTCATCTTAGATCATATTAGAATTTTGATATGTATCCTACATAAACATTCAAAGGCTTTCTTAATGATTTTTATAACCCAATGTTCTTACCAGTGAGTTCAGACCAGGGATTTCATTTTACCCCTGCTTTTAAATTTAAAAGAAAAACCTCACTATGTGAACATTTAACCTTTCACATCCCTAGTTGATGGACTTAAAAAAAAATAAGGCCAACTATTTAGGAACAAAGTAGTAAGCTTTGTGTTTATGCTTTATACATCAACACAATATCTTTGAACCTCATTAGTAAAACATTTGAGACATAATGTATATAACTCCTAAGTAGTCCTAATGAAGTCAGTGAAACTGCTTAAAAGTAAAGTTGTTTATATACTTGTAAAATCAGAGCCAAAACAAATGCAAAGGCCTGATCCTGCAGGTCTTACTCAGGCATTTCTTCCACTTAATTTGCTTTAAATAAGGCCTACATGATTATAGAGTTCCCTTCATGATCTTCAAAAGGGTTGTTTCCTCAAACAACTATGATAACCATCTTATCTATTCAATATGAACAAACGGAATACTAAGTCACTCCACACTAAAAAAAAAATTATGCTGATCCAACTGAGAAGCAGGCATGGGTTTTCACCACCAATATACAAGTTTTACTTTTTGGAAAACTCAAGCCAGCTGTATTTTGGGATGACTGAAACACAATAGTGGTAACCACTGGTTTGTGGTAGAGGAATGCTGTTTCTTGTTCAATTCTTTAAAATTAAAGACAGACAAGGCAGTACAAGGCATCACCTTAAGTGACTAACTGATTCAGAGGGGCATAAGCTTTTGTACGAAGCAGCATCAGAGACAGTAGGTTGATGCTGCAAAAGCTTTTGCATTTCTGGACCAGTTAGTCTCTAAAGACTATCACAGATAGACCCTGAAGACCTGCCTTCTGCCTGTTTTCAGATTTACATGGATAACAAACTTATTCTATTGAAATTTTGAGAGATATTAGAATATAAATTAAGAATTTTACTACACAATGCAAGGAAGGGACTGAAAATGATACAGACTATCAGGATTGAATCTTTTCAACCAGACTTATGCCACAGTTTGAGAATTTTTGTTAAATGGTTGATATGTTCTTTACATTGCTATATTTAAGCCCTGCAATGAATCTGAAACTGCTTACTGTCAAGACAAAAGGCAATTAAATCAACAGGCTTCCCTTTGGCACCTGCCAAGGCACCTGCCAAGGGTCAGTTTAACACCTTGTTTCTCTGTAATACATAATCACCTTGTTTTAGATATTTGGTTTTGTATACAATGTACAAGAGAATTAATTATGAAATATCAATATAAGCTTGCGCTTTAAATTCCTTAAATTGTATCTAAGTGTTAACACAGAATTACTAATATTACAAACAAACAGAGAGAAGGAATGAACTGGATTAGAAGTGCTTAACTCCTATCCCCAGAATGTTTTTTTTTTTTTTTACTGTTACTGTAGTCTACCCCTCCTCACTAGCGCACACACATACACACTGCATGACCACTGTGTACATTTTGCCTACCTGACAAATTTGGCAGCAAATAAATGTTAGAGCAGACTCAACTATTTAGGCCAAAAAATGAGCAAGCTCCATCTCAAGGTACAGCAAAAAGTAGAAGTACTGTTCCTTCACCATTTGTCTTTTCAATATAACTCAAATTATTTCTGAATTACATGCACATGTGCTATTTTACACTGGAAAAGTGTGGGCTTTATCATAGCTTAACAGTTATTTTCATTGTTTTATTAAGCCAGGAAATATTGCAAAAACCAGAACACTACTTTTTCTGACCAAGATGTTCAATATGTTGAGATTATTTTAGTATTTATCCTATTTACACACAAATAGAGAGGCTACTTTAAGTTGTAAGAACTGTAAGTTGTAAAAAGCCAGGGGGATATTTAAGTATGAAGCATGGATTTGGTTATATTTCTGTTTCCAGTATTCTTTTAAACCAATCGCACTTTTTTAAACCCACAGATCCCAACCAATTAAGAACTACAGGCTGCAGCTGTTCTGTTCCACTTTCTAAAACTATAAATTTAACTCTAATATTACCTTAACTGATTGGAGAAATCATCTTCTACGTTGTCATCATCCCAGTTATCTTCCCAAACGTGTGCATCTTCATCTTCATCTAAACCTGCCCAGTCTAAAAAGTCAGCAGAAAAAAAAATCTAAATATTTTAGGTTGCATTGCTTTGATAACATATGCTGTTGACAAACAAGTCTGGCCTTTTGATAAACTGAAATATCAATATCAAACACACTTCCTCTACTATGAAGAAAATTCTGATAATGTTAAAATGTTTGTAAGAAAGATATCATGACAAGATGTTATTCAACAGCAAAACTTATTTATATATTAAAATTTGACTTCATAAATAAACTACCTTCTTGGTGTCATGTTTTGCATTGTCTATAAAGATGGCAGAAGTTTAAATATACAGAAAATTCATATGAACTTCTAGAAAGATTACATGAATACAAAAAAGTAATGTTTGTTACTTAATTTCCTTTAGCACTCCTGGAAATTCTAAAATCCTTTAGGCCTGCACGAAGACATTTACTTTAACAACATTAAAAACTGCTTGTTGAGTGCTTTTGTGAAGCAACCACCTTAATTAGACCTTTCATTGCTACAAAAAAACTGGTTACAAGGAACTCTAAGTAAAAATATCTGAAACTTTAGGACCACACAACTGTTATGTAAATCAATTATGTCGTATAATCATTTGCATTCTTAACCCCCCATAATCTTTAGGAGCTCCCAGTTTTCTCATTCTCCTGATAATGCAGAAAAGTGGAAAAGCACTGCATAAAATTTGACATCTACTGAAACATAAAAGGGCTCATGGTAGGAAAGTTATATTTGATATCTGTCACCCTATGGTAGAGATTTTAGTCAGGGGCGGGCAATTATTTCGGGTGGAGGGCCGCTTACTGAGCTTTCGCAAGCCATCGAGGGCCACATGACAGGCAGCCAGGGGCAGATAAATATTAATTTTCTAAATTTTTAGGGGCCCTGCGGGCTGGATAGACTGGCCTGGTGGGTCGTATCTGGCCCCCGGGCTGCATTTTGCCCACCCCTGTTTTAGACTGTTTGGCTATCTAAGTAAATTTTAAGAAATAACATTGTATTGGAGACTATTGCTCAATCACCCCTACACAGCTCTTTAAATGGGAGAAAAAGGGCTACAGAACTAAATGTAATGCTGCCAGCACTGCACATACCAGAGGATGGATAAAGAAGAAAGGGTACAGATGGGAATAAAGTGGGGCAGGAGGAAGAAAAGACCATCCTAATAATTTTTTGTACTATGCTTGGTCACATTCTACAACTAAATAATAAGAGTTACAAAGGATTAAAGGAACTTATCCCAGCGCTACTTAGATAAAGGTAACGTTTATTTATACACAGTGTATTTAGCAGTAATTCAGTCTATGGTCCTTTCGTGAAAGCCATAGGTAGTATTACATCAGTTACAGATATGGACAGATGTATTATGTTGCTTTAAAAAGGAGAGTGGGAAATTTACCACAGTTGAGCTATAACTTTTTCATCTATCTACTCCTATCCCACAGTGGAGTGGCAGTTAAACTAGTCAATTTACTCCTGTGTGAAAAAAAGGACTAAGTTGTTATGGCTTAACTTTATTTACTGTGTGACAGGAACAGACTGGCAGATGCTCGTTTCCCTCATCCGCTCTTTAAAATGGTTCATCTGGGCCTTGTTTCATTTATTTAGATTTAAACAAAGTATTTGCTTTTGCACTGGAGGGCTTGATACCCACTTCCCTGCAGAAGTCAGCCACCATGTTCGTTGGCAAAAAGAACATTCAAAGAATACTTACTGCACCGGACACCATGCTCAGCCATAAGAGAAATACATATTCATGAAAATTTGCACTATACTTACATGAGCAAGCCTAGGTGACCTTCCTCATTAAAAGGGGGCAAAACAAATGAAAGAAAGAAAAAGCCTAAACTATGCTCTTTTTCTCTTACCTATAAAACTCAACTATTTGTATGTGGATGCTATGTTCTGGACTTGTATGTAACTAGAATAACAATTTATGTATACATCTGTGACTAGATAAAAAGTAAGAGAGAGATATAGTATTATCTAGGACTGGAAAAATCAAGAATGCTTATAAAATGATCACCATTTTACTATGAATCAAAATAATAAGATTTATTCAGATAAACTGGTCATGACAGCCATCAGAAAACTTCAAAAATGAGGAAAAAAATTGCATTTTACCTCAGCTGTAACACACTACCCAAATCCCTATGGGTTCATCACTCTAAAAAGAATTTAATTAACCAATTCATATATGTTAAGTGCATTTCATACTAAATACCAAATACCCTATAAAAATACACTGCATACGTTACAGGCATGTAAATATGGTTTGATAAACATTTTCCTTAAAGCAGATTTTAAACAGGAATTAAAAGAGTTAAGAGAGCTTACAGCAAATGCAACGTCTGTTACCTTTTAACATGAGTCTGCACTTGCTAATTTCCCAAGGTAAAACCATTCTTCCTGGACATCTTGAATTAAACAATCACTGAATAAAAATAGAAATAGACCTGGATGTAAGGACCAGAACCCCAAGACTCCCCCTTCCTGGGCAATTACCTAACCCAGTGATTCTCAATCAGTACCAGAGCACCCCAGCGTGCCTTGAGATCCTTTCAAGGATGCTGCAGGGTGCCATGCAATGTTAGCACTGCTATACATGCAAACATGAATCACAAGATAATCTCAGATTTTAAAAAGGAATCCACAGTGTTTAAAGGATCCTGGCTAGATCTGGTTTCTCCAAGCTCTCTGCAACAGAACTGCTCTGTTATTTTTCTGTAGTCAAAAAGAGATGAAAACTAAGAGCTGGCATTTTCCACAAAATTCTCAATTCTATCAAGGGGTGCCCTGTGTCTAAAAAAGTTGAGAACTGCCCTAATCACTAAGCTACAGAATGTTGTTAGTTGTCCTTCTTGACCCAGGATCCTTGCTGTATGGTAGATCAGCTTTAACTGGAAAAAATGAAGGATGCTCCCATGTAGCCTAGCCCAGCGGTTCTCAAGTTTTTTTGTACCAGAACCCATTTGTAAACATGGATGGCCAGCCCCAACCCAGTAAATAGTTTAAGTAGAAGACAGCCCCCTGGCCCTGCCAATGCCTCACTCCCAACCTGCTGTCCCCTACCCCCAGGCTCCAGCCCCACAATATGTCCAAGAAAGTGATCCTCCCCCTCTATGCAACACTGGTCAGGCCACAGTTGGAGTACTGCGTCCAGTTCTGGGCGCCGCACTTCGGGAGGGATGTGGCCAGCATTGAGAGGGTCCAGAGGAGGGCCACTTGCATGATCAGGGGGCAGCAGGGCAGACCCTACGAGGAGAGGCTAAGGGACCTGGACCTGTTCAGCCTTCACAAGAGAAGGCTGAGAAGGGATCTGGTGGCTGCCTATAAACTTACCAGGGAGGACCAGAGGGGAATGGGTGACACCCTGTTCCCCCGAGCACCTCCTGGAGTAACAAGGAATAACAGCCACAAGTTGTTTGAGAGTAGGTGCAGGCTAGACATCAGGAGGCACTACTTCACAGTCAGGGCAGCTAGGATCTGGAACCAGCTTCCAAGGGAAGTGGTGCTGGCTCCTACCTTAGGGGTCTTTAAAAGGAGGCTTGATAATTACCTAGCTGGGGTCATATGAGCTTAAACTTACCAGGGGTCATATGAGCCCAGTATTCATTCCTGCCCAGGGCAGGGGTCGGACTTGTAGGGTCGGAAGGGACCTGAGCAGATCATCATCTATGAACCTATGTGGAGCAGGAGGTGGGGATGTGTGGGTTATGGGGGGCCTCTAGCAGCCCCTTGGCAGGCTGGAACTCTGCCAACCTGCAAGGGGAAACCCACTCTCTCACATTTTCCTCCTTTAAAGGAGAATTCATTTTTAAAGTGTATTCATGACCCTTTCATATATTCTTGCAACCCATTTTTGGGTTGTGACCCATGGGTTGAGAAACTTTGGACTAGCCCACAGCCTGTTAAGACGCAGGCTCGCGGAAGACAGGTCATACGGCTTTAAACCCCTTCTAGCTGAGAAGCTAAAACGCATGACTCCCACTTCCTGAGCAAATGCTTTAACCATTAAGTTAATATTAAAAAATAGAGAAGGCAGGAAAAAAAAACACAACACCATCACCTCTTTAACCCTCATTTTAAGTAAGAGTGAGCCCTGATCAGTTATTTCATAAAACAGCTATGAACACAATGCCAACCCTCAAAGTGGGTTCCAAGCTCAGGGTCCTAAGTGGAAAGAAGCACTTCAGCTCCAGAGAAGGGAAGGGGGCCAGGTACACCCCTGTACTCAGCCTCACTTACTGGGAACTCATGATGGCCATCTCCCTGATCAGCAAGTGAGATTTTTTGCATCGCCCTTCTGAGGTGCCTAACTCTATTTGCATCCATTACAAGGATCAGGGGCCTAACTTGATGCAGCTAATAACTTTAAATCAGCCTCAAGCAAAATGGCCAATTTTAAGTGGAGTAGCGTTGTTCCGACATCATTCTCTTCATTTAGACATGCGAGACATTTTGATTTTCCCATTACTATTAATTTGTCATCTATGAAAACCATGTTAAATCTTACTCTTTCATATTTCTGCATAGCCACCTATTAAACAGCTTCTTACAGATTTTTACTGGGGGGAAAAAATGCAATGCTCAAGTTTAATTTATTCACATCCTCAGTAGGAAAAAAAAAAAAAGCAAGCTCACAGGAACATGAGCTGAAGTTTCTGCAGGGACGCGGGGAGATTTAAGTACACAGAAAAATATGGATTGAACAACTCTTCCTAACTCTTATATAAGGATGTGGTTTGAGATTTTAGGTTTTATTCAAGTCATTTTTAGTGACATCTGTCTAATTCAAGGTTCACACCATATAGGCCCTCCCTCTATTAATTTAATTCAGACCTCTACTCTTAAACAGTAGCAAGAGAAAAAAGAAGAGAAAAATCCTTTAGAAGATAAACTGATAAGATACCTCCTATGTAACCAGCTAATCCCCGTTTCTCATCTAATGGGAAATATTCTATTTGACAAGGCTTATTTGACATCTGAGACTTGTTGAGTTACTTCAAGCTGCAAGGAGGACAGTGAGGCAAAAATTGGTAACACCCGTTCCCATCATGTTCTATACCATGAGCAATTTTCTCCATCCACTAATCCAAGCCATCCCTATAATCACTAGCATTTTCAGGGACTTGAAGGAAATGGACAATGATACCATATTTCAGCGTCTTTTGTAACTGGACCTACAATAGGAAATTTTTACTTATAAGATTGTGAAGGAAGGTTCTTGCTTAGAAGTCCAATTCATCACACTCATACACTGCTTTATTGATACGCATGCACTCGTATAAAAATGGTCCTTTACTGAGTCAGACCACTGGTCCATCCTGCCCAGGCCCCCGTGCCACGCAGTGCTCTGCTTGGTGTCCATGCTTGATGCTCTTGTTTTGAACCTCTCCCCAGCACTCCCGTCCCTGTTTTTTTATTTGCCCCAAGAAATCTGTTGTCCCCTTTTCTTGTTGCCTCCCTGCCAGAGGGAGGCCAATGAGAAACCTGGTGGGCCGGGCCCAAGTGATAAAAGGGTGACAAACAGGCCTGTGTAACACAGCAGCAGAGAGCGCACCCCGAAAGGGGGAGCCAACAAGGTACAACCAGGGGTTTTCCACTACTCCTCTCTCACTTGCGGCCTCCAGCATTTGGAGGCCAGGCCCCTCTCTCCCCTGCTCAACAGCGACTGATGCCCCTTTCCTCCAGGCCTGCGTCTGGTCCCTTGGTGAAACAGCCTAACTGGCGGCTCCCGCAGCCCCGAGTTCCCGGCTTCGCTTCCAGGCTCGGAGAGCAAGAACTTTCTCTTGTTGGCTTTAAACTTACTGCCGACCGGCTGCGGGGTGCGACCCGTGCCCTGGTGCTGGGAGAGCTCACCTCATAATCCCTAACCACTTTCTCTTCGTCTCCAAGCCCCCCTCAAGCGGCTGAGCAGGCCTGGCCCCTCTGGTCTCTGCTCAGGGGGAGCGGAGCGAAGCGGAGCCGCCCCGCCCC